GAACATTTTACGTAATAGTATGTCAGAAATATATTGTAATCCCCATCTTTGCATAGAGTATGTAAATTAAGTATATCCTATTGCCAATTTATTCACTGGGGAATAAGGGAATTTGAATGTGGCATAAATTACATTTTTCAATACAATATTACCTATACAACATTTCTCCAACAAGAAAATACATTTTTCATTTTCGTTTATCAAGCAATCAAGGCAGATTTTATTCAGAAATCATTTCACAGTCATATCTATTTCACTTCAGAAGATAGTGCCCAATATTGGGAGGGCAAAGTAAAGCAGGCATGGGAGCGAGGGATGTAAACATTTCTGTTTCTCTGTTTCATTTAACAGCTACTCTTAAGAGACTCAAGATTCACCTATAATGATAACAGTAAGATTTAAATCAAATATTGAACTTGTGCAAGGACCATTGATTTTCTTTATTTTCATCCTACCATTCCCCCTGTCTTTACTATGTCTCTCCTTCGAATGAAGGGAGACATATTGTATTAGTACTGGTTTTTCTGGTTCTTCTGGTTCTTCTAATCACTACTTGTCTGGACCATTAATTTTAAACCGTTAAAGATATCTTGATGAAACTTGGGGTATGCCTGCCTCACCCACAGAAAGTGTGCAGTGCACTGCAATTATGTCACTGTGACCTTCACCTCAAGGTCAAAGGTGAAATAAGTGCAACATTTTCAGTAAATTCTTGTCCGGCCCGTAAATTTTAAACCGTTAAAGATATCTTAATCGAACTTTCAGTATACCTGCATCATACACAGAAGGTGTGCAGTGCACTGGAATAAGATCTCGTACCCCACTATATACAGAGTTATGGCTCTTTGTTTATTTTGAATACCGAAGTTTGTCTGGAGCATAAGTTCCATGTTGTTTCACCAACGTTGAACAAACTTACCATATTGATGTTTCTTGGGAAGGCGGGATCTCTCGCACTGAAATCGGGTCTTGTGCCCTACTAAATACAGAGTTATGGCCCTTTGTTTATTTTTTTTATCAAATTTTATTCACAGCATAACTTCCATGTTATTTCACCTACATTGACCAAACTTGCTATAGTTATGCAGGGCTCACCCTGAACCAACACTTCGAAATAAAACGGGAGCACATCACGTAGCGCAACTTGGTCATTCCCGTGTTGTGATTGGCATCTAATATAAGCGACCGTCGAAGACATTCTGAACGGTTTGCTGTTCAGAAAACTGCATGACTGCGATGCTAAATAACTTTTCTCAACCTCTTCAAATTCTCAAACGTCTAACCACGAAAGTACATTGATACGATATCTCGTTTGAAGTGATCTGAAAGGCACTTTGACATGGTGTTTCAAGGCAATACTATATCGGACGCATTTATGCTTGCTACGGTACTGGAAAAGGTGAATGAAGACCATGCACACTTATTCAAATATATTAACCCATACATGTTGGATGCAGTATTTGTAACAAGGTGATCAGATCGGCTTACGGCGCCGCCAAATGTACGTGTGCGAATCCACCTATGTGGGACTGGCTTATCAGACTGTTTTCTCAACGTCAATGGGTCATCCAATTAACTTGACCCCACTGTCCATTAATGTACACGAATTATAACACCTGTTGCCATCTGAAGCTTGATATTTGACTTCACAACTTAGACAAAAGCATTAATCAACTCGCAGCCGTACAGCGCGCGCTGATCTGTGACGGCCTTGATTATGTTTACGCAATCAGCGTCAGCCACAATATACACACATGGGTAGACAGATCGTTCTCTTGGACAAAGATATAGATTTTCCCCATTTTTAAAAAATTAGTAGTCAATTTAGTAGCCACATCGTATTTTTTGTAGCCAATAAAAAATAAAAGTAGCCATTTCTGACAGTGTTAGCCCTGTTATGTATCTTGAGAAGTAGGAGTGTTGCATTTAAAAATGGTCTCATGCCCCACTATATAAAGAGATATGGCCCTTTGTTAATTTTTTATACCAAAGTTTGTCTGCAGCATAAGTTCCATGTTATTTCTCCTACATTGCAGGATAATTTAAAAGTGACATGGTTTAGAGTGTACATACCTTAACATTGATGTGACCTTTCTATTCTTCCAAATATTGGCATATTGGCTAATGAGGGGAGACATATGTTTTTGTTCACAAAAACAAATTTCTAGTTCTTCCTACCATTCCCCCTGTCTTTATTCTTCCTACCATTCCCCCTGTCTTTATCTTCCTACCATTCCCCCTGTCTTTATTCGTCCTACCATTCCCCCTGTCTTTATGGATGGTCACCTTTATTAAATCAGGTTTATTTTCGCAATATGAAAATGTCAAATTTAACACTACGGTGATCAGTAACAAATGTAAATTTGTAATTAGTGACCATATTATTCATGACTATGATGTCATCACATTCTCGACAGGGCAGAAATTGTCCCAATATTGAAACGTGTTCAATTGGAAATGTCAAGTCTTGTTATCACTGTCATGTTGTTTGGTGCATATAATTCATAATTTCATGATTTACAATGATGGGTGTCAGCTGAATTTCAAACCTCATGATATCAAGTTGCCCATGTCATAATGTTGGTTCTGCTCTATTTTGGTATTCTCAATGTTTGGTTTTCCCTTCCCCTTCCATCAAGCCTTTCAGCTTTTACTCATTTGAAACACACAATAGTTTTATCAGAAGGTATATGCTACATTTACATTTACATCCCCCCCCCCAAACACACCCACACACCCACACACACACACACACACACACACCCAACCCACCCACAACATTAGTCAATGCAATTGCATGTATAAAAGAAATGACGCTAGAAAAGGGAGACAACTATGAAATCTTTAAATATTCTACATTGTTTACATAGAATCCATGAGATGCCCAGAAAATGCCGGCTTACACCAATGTTATTTGAAAAGGTCACTTGTAATTGGAATCAGGCGTGAGTCTAATGGGCGGCCTACAAATATGATGGAACAGAATGCAGGCAGGCACCGATAAATATGTCACGTTATATAAGCTGATGAGGTATGATCAGTATTTGTGTACTGTAAACATATACAAGGTCATTTGTGTTTTTCAGGTAGAAAATTGGCTGTTTTAGTTCCAAACAGGAAAAGCACACCATTTGTGCATCATTTATTTTGAAACTATTTACTGGTACAAACGTTTGTGGTCAGTAGGCTACGATGAAAAAAATAGGAATTTGTACGAAGTTTGATGTACCAGAATTCCTTGCTCCACATGATGATTAAAATCACTCTGTGCACTTAGCACATCAAAAACATGAATGAGGATGAATTAACTTGAATTGAATCTATTATTCCACACGTAATGGTTTCGTAATATAATCAATCATCGAAACCAAAAAGTTTGAAAACAGATAATAAAATCGGAAGTTGAAACAATAAAATTTTTATAAAAAAAATGCTAGCTTTGTATTGGCCATACCTGTGTGCGATCGATATATGTCCGGCATGTGCCTGTAATATCTACCTTACCGTGCCTGTAATATCTACCTTACCGTGCCATCCATGATACATGACTTGGTCCAGATCCGCCATAGTCAAATTAATAAGTTTGACATTATTTCATGTTAGTGTTCATAATTCAGACTTCACTTGTAAATACTGATCAGTGTGAAATACGTGTGTATTATGTGAACATCCTACCTGATGTCAACAACCCACGACTAATATCAGCCCTCGGGTTGACCCACCAAATATCAGCCTTCAGGATCTGGAGATATTGGCAATTAGCTTATAAACTTTGTGCATCATAGAATAAACTTTCTACATCAAACCTATTTAAAATGGAATCTGGCGATGGAGAGATTATACAAATTATTGAACCTAATTGCACGCATTTAAGAAACCCTAGACTTTTGTGCTATACTTTAGAGGACTATAAAGACAAGCCTGATAATTGACTATAGTTAGATATCTCTGAAGTTTGTGAATGTCATTTAGAGCATTATGCTCCTCCTGGATACATTTCATCTGATTGATCACCAGTATAAGAACAACAAAATAAATGACAGTTCTCGGTGAGAAATGGTGCGATTCTAGACCATTTTTGTAGCGTGATGTATATCATAGTCCTACAGTTTAATTGAAGAGTTTATAAGAGGAAAAATAATGACATAAATTTACCACTATCTAGGTGATCAATTTAAAAGTTATATAACCATGGTGACAAAAAAATAATAGAGTTTGGTGTCATTAAATTGATTTAAATCATGGTTAGTGATGATGTATGTTTCATTACATTCCACAAAAAAGGTTCTTATCTGCCTAGCTGATAAAATATATTAAGATACCGTTACTCTGTATTGAATTATGCCCACAATGAACACATTTTTAGGTGCCATTTTACTGTAGTTAACTACCGATATTTCTTACAATCCAAGAGCTTGATATGACTGAGTCACGAATAATTCTTACTGTTGTTTCCCTCTTTTCTCTATGATAGCACATAATCAATGTTGTCGCTCTTAATTTTGTGACATTACAAGCATTGTCACACCCAAATCTACAACCCTGTACCAGTGACATATCACGCCTAATTCTATGTCACTGTACCTATGACATGTCACATCTAATTATACGACACTGTACCTGTGACATATCGCACCTAATTCTACGACACTGTACCAGTGACATGTCATACCTAATTCTACGACAATGTACCTGTGACATGTCACATCTAATTCTACGACACTGTACATGTGACATGTCATACCTAATTCTACGACACTGTACATGTGACATGTCACACCTAATTCTATGTCACTGTACCTATGACATGTCACGCCTAATTCTACGACACTGTACCTGTGACAATTCACGCCTAATTCTATGACACTGTACCTGTGACATGTCACGCCTTATTCTATGACACTGTACCTGTGACATGTCACACCTAATTCTACGACACTGTACCTGTGACATGTCACACCTAATTCTACGACACTGTACCTGTGATACACACCTCCTTCCTATGTGTTGAAGGCTGTATGTTACCTTACTGTGATACACACCTCCTCCCTATGTGTTAAAGGCTGTATGTTACCTTACTGTGATACACACCTCCTCCCTATGTGTTAAAGGCTGTATGTTACCTTACTGTGATACACACCTCCTCCCTATGTGTTAAAGGCTGTATGTTACCTTACTGTGATACACACCTCCTCCCTATGTGTTAAAGGCTGTATGTTACCTTACTGTGATACACACCTCCTCCCTATGTGTTAAAGGCTGTATGTTACCTTACTGTGATACACACCTCCTCCCTATGTGTTAAAGGCTGTATGTTACCTTACTGTGATACACACCTCCTCCCTATGTGTTAAAGGCTGTATGTTACCTTACTGTGATACACACCTCCTCCCTATGTGTTAAAGGCTGTATGTTACCTTACTGTGATACACACCTCCTCCCTATGTGTTAAAGGCTGTATGTTACCTTACTGTGATACACACCTCCTCCCTATGTGTTAAAGGCTGTATGTTACCTTACTGTGATACACACCTCCTCCCTATGTGTTAAAGGCTGTATGTTACCTTACTGTGATACACACCTCCTCCCTATGTGTTAAAGGCTGTATGTTACCTTACTGTGATACACACCTCCTCCCTATGTGTTAAAGGCTGTATGTTACCTTACTGTGATACACACCTCCTCCCTATGTGTTAAAGGCTGTATGTTACCTTACTGTGATACACACCTCCTCCCTATGTGTTAAAGGCTGTATGTTACCTTACTGTGATACACACCTCCTCCCTATGTGTTAAAGGCTGTATGTTACCTTACTGTGATACACACCTCCTCCCTATGTGTTAAAGGCTGTATGTTACCTTACTGTGATACACACCTCCTCCCTATGTGTTAAAGGCTGTATGTTACCTTACTGTGATACACACCTCCTCCCTATGTGTTAAAGGCTGTATGTTACCTTACTGTGATACACACCTCCTCCCTATGTGTTAAAGGCTGTATGTTACCTTACTGTGATACACACCTCCTCCCTATGTGTTAAAGGCTGTATGTTACCTTACTGTGATACACACCTCCTCCCTATGTGTTAAAGGCTGTATGTTACCTTACTGTGATACACACCTCCTCCCTATGTGTTAAAGGCTGTATGTTACCTTACTGTGATACACACCTCCTCCCTATGTGTTAAAGGCTGTATGTTACCTTACTGTGATACACACCTCCTCCCTATGTGTTAAAGGCTGTATGTTACCTTACTGTGATACACACCTCCTCCCTATGTGTTAAAGGCTGTATGTTACCTTACTGTGATACACACCTCCTCCCTATGTGTTAAAGGCTGTATGTTACCTTACTGTGATACACACCTCCTCCCTATGTGTTAAAGGCTGTATGTTACCTTACTGTGATACACACCTCCTCCCTATGTGTTAAAGGCTGTATGTTACCTTACTGTGATACACACCTCCTCCCTATGTGTTAAAGGCTGTATGTTACCTTACTGTGATACACACCTCCTCCCTATGTGTTAAAGGCTGTATGTTACCTTACTGTGATACACACCTCCTCCCTATGTGTTAAAGGCTGTATGTTACCTTACTGTGATACACACCTCCTCCCTATGTGTTAAAGGCTGTATGTTACCTTACTGTGATACACACCTCCTCCCTATGTGTTAAAGGCTGTATGTTACCTTACTGTGATACACACCTCCTCCCTATGTGTTAAAGGCTGTATGTTACCTTACTGTGATACACACCTCCTCCCTATGTGTTAAAGGCTGTATGTTACCTTACTGTGATACACACCTCCTCCCTATGTGTTAAAGGCTGTATGTTACCTTACTGTGATACACACCTCCTCCCTATGTGTTAAAGGCTGTATGTTACCTTACTGTGATACACACCTCCTCCCTATGTGTTAAAGGCTGTATGTTACCTTACTGTGATACACACCTCCTCCCTATGTGTTAAAGGCTGTATGTTACCTTACTGTGATACACACCTCCTCCCTATGTGTTAAAGGCTGTATGTTACCTTACTGTGATACACACCTCCTCCCTATGTGTTAAAGGCTGTATGTTACCTTACTGTGATACACACCTCCTCCCTATGTGTTAAAGGCTGTATGTTACCTTACTGTGATACACACCTCCTCCCTATGTGTTAAAGGCTGTATGTTACCTTACTGTGATACACACCTCCTCCCTATGTGTTAAAGGCTGTATGTTACCTTACTGTGATACACACCTCCTCCCTATGTGTTAAAGGCTGTATGTTACCTTACTGTGATACACACCTCCTCCCTATGTGTTAAAGGCTGTATGTTACCTTACTGTGATACACACCTCCTCCCTATGTGTTAAAGGCTGTATGTTACCTTACTGTGATACACACCTCCTCCCTATGTGTTAAATGCTTTATGTTACCTTACTGTGATACACACCTCCTTCCTATGTGTTGAAGGCTGTATGTTACCTTACTGTGATACACACCTCCTCCCTATGTTTTAAAGGCTGTATGTTACCTTACTGTAATACACACCTCCTTACTGTGATACACACCTCCTCCCTATGCGTTAAAGGCTGTATGTTACCTTACTGTAATACACACCTCCTTACTGTGATACACACCTCCTCCCTATGTGTTAAAGGCTGTATGTTACCTTACTGTAATACACACCTCCTCCCTTTGTGTTAAAGGTTGTATGTTACCTTACTGTGATACACACCTCCTCCCTTTGTGTTAAAGGCTTTATGTTACCTTACTGTGATACACACCTCCTCTCTGAAACAATACTTACATAAATCTATAAACTGTCAGTTGTAAATGATAATTTGTACATCATTTATTGATAAAACTCGGGTAACTATAAATTGTTGGAAAAACATACTTTTATTTTGTTTTTTAAAGATCCTTAAAACAATAACATATATATAATGTAGGATGATAAAACATATAGCTTGAATATTATTTTAACCCTTTCACCCCTATGTAACTTTAATAAACTCTACCATAAATTGATCTGGCTATGTGTTAAAGGCTTTATGTTACCTTACTGTGATACACACCTCCTCCCTATGTGTTAAAGGCTGTATGTTACCTTACTGTGATAGACACCTCCTTCNTTCACCCCTATGTAACTTTAATAAACTCTACCATAAATTGATCTGGGTGGGTTCATTATGGTCTACAGTGGTGAAAGGGTAAAAGCAGTACGGTACTTGGAAATCCCACGTCAATAACTAATAGCTTTTGGCAATAAGGTACCATGTAAATTTCTTACTTTAGGTACTTTGTATATGATAGTTGGTATTATAGACTGTATATTTGATATAATAGACTGTATAAATGTTTTCTCTCTTTATAGCACCTTCCTGGCGCCAAGACTCAGCACCCTCTGCTAATGATGCCATTATAGCTAGGACAGAGGGCAGTAGTGTTCGTCTTAACTGTGGTGCCAATGGAAAACCCAGACCTACCATCGAGTGGTTCAAAAATGGGGAAAGATTTGATACCAAAGGAAGGAAAAAGGTAGGATTCCCACTAAAACTACTTGTCATATGTTTCACTCATCAGGTTTTTATACGCCCGTCGAAGACGGGGATGTATTATGTTATCACGTGAGCGGGCGGGCGGGCGGGC